GTGGACTGCTAGTGGAACATAACAGGCTACATAAATACATCATCTTGAGCTCTGGAAAATCTTTGTGGGCATGTTTTACTATTATTTTACTATTTAATAATGAAAAGAGCTGTTAGATGCAGCCCTAACTAATAGTGGACTCTCTTGGCCAACCTATCATTAAACACATGGTCACGATCAGATTATCCGACAGCTAAACTACAGACACTATTATGACCAGCAATGCATGCATGACCAAGGATTATGCATTAGTGCACACAGATAAAAGTCTTTGCTCATCAAAACAGAGACCAGAACAGTTCTCTACAGCTGCTCATCTGGTGATAAAATGAAGAACAGACCAGAAAGAGAGAGCCACGAGAAAACTATTTGACCCGAACTTCACATCTAGCGCCAAGCTAAGGAATCTGCTCTGGTTTTGAAGTGCTGCTCTCACAATGTTGCTCCTCTGAGATGTTGACTTCCTCCAGACCCAACCGTGCAATCGTCAGCTGAGATTAGATTCCAGGTTTCAACTCAGAGGCTTGAACTCTCATGTAACTTTAGCAGCCCGGGCATATTCTCAAACGCAGCAGCCAGCGTGACCAAAACAACCCACAGAAATAGCTCTGATCCCATTCTGAGTGCTGGCCAAGTCAGATTCCCCAAACAGGCGCTAAAGGGAACAAGAGATTGGGAACACACCATGCTCACCACCCCCAAAGTCCATCAATCATTATTCTCCATACAAATAGAGCATTCAGATGGACAAAAAGTCAGTCAATAGGCAGCACACGAGGAGTCTGGAGTGTATCCGGTGAGGGAAAAAGAACCAGCCAGCCGAACAGAAGAAAGCTATAGTCACAGAGAGTCATCGACATCTGCACTGCTTCATTAATTCAGCAGACGCTCTTATTCGTGCTCAATCAACGAAAGGCTTGTCACATTTTTAGACCTGCAGATAAAGTGGAGTCTGTGCGGGCTCATATTTATGAAGAATCTGAAATTGAAGACACAAAAGATGGGGCTAAAAATAGTGGAGTTCAACACTGGCTGAACTCGCCGTTTTTTGTAATTAAAGACTTTGTTAACGCTTCAAAGGCCATTATTCCCAAGGAGGCGTGGGTACATTTACGAAAAAGTGGTGAGGCAACCCATGAAGTAGTATTCTAAACACACAAACAGTAGATGCGGTAAAGATACGGCACATTATGGTGTGTGTAACGTGTTTTGTAAGGTTTAGTTTGGTACAACTATACAATATCAGCGTTTTTGCATGTTTTGTCTTTTAAACCATAAATCATATATATTTTACAATATTTTTTCATTTTATTCATTTTGGGTGCATTCTATCTTGCTGTTCTGCACAGTTACTGTATTGTGGTCAGTGCTTTACTCTGTGAAAAAGACTAAAACACTCTGAAATTTGAGCTGTGTAATCCATCTCAATGAACATCAACTTGCATTACTGTTGCATGGTGAAGCAGTCCAGACCGATTCTGTACTGCATCATTATAACGTTAACATTACTTGTAATTAAAACAAATATGCAGGCTTGATGTGTTGCATCATAGAAATCAGTTTCAAGAGCTTGCTAATTAATTTTCATGTTCATACCATACTAACATGAACTGAAACCAATGGCTGCCTGAAAAGTAGGAAAATACATTCAAAACCTAAAACTGGGTTATAAATGAGCTAAAACATGCAAAACAGCTGGTATGGCCCTTCAAAATCCCCCTCCCCCCAACTCAAAAATATGTTTTTTGTTCTTGTTCCTACCATTGGAGGTTTGATCTTCACTGTGCAGAATGATGTAGGAGCAGAGTTTGACACTAGAAGTACGTTCATCTGCTGAAACTGGAAAGTTTTCTGTGCTCACTGAAAATCTGATTTTCTAAGAGGCCTACGAGCATGATTTGATTTGATCATGATTTGATTTGACATGATTTGATCCAGTATGCAACTTAAACAAGTGTGAAACTTGAGGCCAACACTGAGAATGGACTTCACAGTGAAGTAGGAGACATCTTGTGTCCAGCAGGAAAACTTTAGAAATGAACAAGGTTGGCAAATTCATAGATTCTGGATTTTTTAATTAGGAGTAGATGTCTTTTTAAGGATTTGAATTAATTTGTTTTCCCTTTTTTTTGCAGAAAAGAAACACAAAGAGACACACATTATTGTTCCAAGCTGACTATTTGCATATATGTCTAAATACATGTCTGGAGGGGATCTTTAAATAATCATTTTTTGACAATTTCCAACTTTTTCAGTCATATGAAAAAAGCAATAACACACCACAATACTGTTGTATTATTATTTACTTTGGCCTACGGACAGATTTATTTCCCATATGGAGTCATTATCCACAAGCCAGAACCTGGCAAAGCAGGATTCTGATCAATTACTTTCCAACCACTGCAGATATTTTATGATAATTTGTGCAACAAAATAGTAAATGCACTTATTTCACTTTTAAGACATACATTAAACTGTGTGTGGGTGGACACCTCACAGGCTGTATATGTGGCCATACAGATCCAGTTTATCTGACAAATCAAAGTGAAGGAAATGCACAAAAGGTTTCATATGAAATGTGTCAGAAAAGGTTGTTTTAGTAATTATCCATGTCCCCAAACAGGCCCAGTTTGACCTGAATGGAGAGATGGGACACTGAATGCAGGATGGAGTGAGCAACCACAGAAGGCTGTTGTGCTTTTCACTGCTGCTCATCAACCCTCCCAACCAGTGTGAGAGAAGGAGGAGTGCAGCGTCATTCTGCAGCCAATACAAACTGAGTTAACAGCAACCACAACACACACAGACACATACACAGCAAATTATGAAGGTACAGAGGTTTCTAACTAAAGGTGAAAAAAGACAGTGAAATAATATTTTACCTTCCTACCATTCCTTCTGATTTGAAACCAAGGTACCCACTGCGCCCACAACACACACACAAACAACCAGTAATGAGTGTTTCCTCTTTGATGACACGTAGCCCAGCTTGTTGCTCTTTTTTGTTGCAGTGAAGTGTGGGATGGCGTCGCCAAACCCACAGGAATCAATTGCAAAGTCAACAGGCTGCAGAGAGGGGGGCAGTTCCGGAGCAGGAGGGAAAAGAAAAAAAAACAACACTTCTGCTCCCGCTTCTCATTTTCACAGCAACGAGTCAGAGCACCAGTAAACCCACGATTTCACAGCTACTAAGAACTCCCATTAAACAGAATCTTATTACAGGATGTAAATGAGGCACAGGTCTTTGAATAGTAACGACCTGATGGAAAATAAATCACTTTTGAAGAAAAGTAGACGGCTCAGGGAAAATTAAAAGAGCCTTTCTGTTCACAGAAGCTCAGAGCAAGATTTGTTCTCTGTTAAAACTGCTGAACGAGCAACTCCAGCTTCCAAATATGTCCACTCATCTGCTTACCCAGCATGAACTGCCCTAATGACACCAGAACATTTCATCTGGACTCCAAAATAAGTCTGAAACCCATCAAAAGGTGCAGACAGTAATAACCTAAATTTAATTAGCTCTGTGCGCTACGATTAGTGTCTTTCCTGGGCTGGTACACAGAGACTCATTCGGGACTCGTTTAATCCTAATCCTACAGGGAAAGTCTCAGAGTTTTGCTGAGCCACACGTGATGCCAGGGAGAGCCAGGAGTTGCCAGAGTGACGCCAGTCAATGAGGATCAGGGACTTTATCAGCCACCAATTAAACCTGTGTCCTTGTCACAGACAGATTTATTTTGGGAGATAATGCAACACCTCAAGAAGTTAAGATGTTCCACTGCCAGACAAACAGTTTCTTTATATGCACTGCCAAAACATGAAAGAACTGGGGACTAAAGTATATTTTGTCATTAATAAGAACTGGTCTGAATGACTTGTGGTTTCAAACTGTAGTATTTCAGGGTAAAAAAGTTATTTTTGAGCTCATTTCAAGCCTCCATTCCTGCAGTAAAACTGTGGCTCTGAACACTAAAGCTTAAGTATTAGATTTCGCTCAGCGTACCAAAACTATTCAGCCTCGCTTTGTGCTCCTACAACTAGAAATGGCTGTTGCGTGCCACAGAAAAGTGTTGTCAAAAGTTGTAATTATAGGCTCAACTCAAGATGTGCCAATTGGTTGAAACTACCATGTTGCCACATCAGAGAGAACAAAAAGTCGGAAGTTAGAAAAAAACAGACTGGGCTTATTAAGAGACGGGGAGCCGTGTGCTGGCTGTCATCATTATGTCGTCGCTGTAGACCAGAGTTGTCAACAATTTCCAAGCACACAAGTAAATAAGAAAGTGCGGAGAGAGCACTCAAATTCATTTACAGTATTTCTGCTCAAACCTTGCAGGTCGTAAATCACTTTTTTGCGTCCGCACACAAGATAAGCGCAGTTTTAATGGGCAAGCTTTCGAGGCGAGAGGACATTTATTCTAAAAAACTTGAAGAACCACAACAAGTTGCAATCACAAGTAAAATGGATATTCTTTCCTCTGAGGAATGCCAGCTCTGAATTCCTCCTGGCTAATGCCTGTCTGAGTTTAACTAATGAGGGGCACTGATATGGAGTGATATGATTAGACAGCCACAGCTCCTGTCTGCTCCTATCAAACAGAACAGAACAAGATATAACTAAGCTAGGCTACATTTGTTACATATTTTAAGAGGAATTTGGGATTTTTTTGGGCTATATCATCTTAAACTTCAGACTTAAAATACTTAGTATATTTCTGAGTACAACTACAGTAATCTAGGCATTACTTGCAGCTAAATAAGTCTGCTGATCCTTTGATTGAGAACATTTTCAACAATAGCTGTAATTAGTGCTCAAGGTGTGCACAACCGCAAAAACCTGCCGAGGGTGACTGGCTGAGAGACAAAACGAGAGACAATAATTGGCCCTCGAGCATCTGCCCAAAGAAATGTGAGGGAAAGCCTGAATGAAGTCGGGAAAAGCTGAAAGGGAAGTACAGTAAGAATGAGAGGAGGTGTGTATGTGTCTATTTTTGCCTTACCTGTGGCTTTGCTGGTGGAAGGCCCACCCTCCTCCTGAGGTTTGCACGCGAGCATCTGTCTGTGCAGATGTATTGCCTCTGTGGAATGTACAGCGTTCCCCTGACTCCCATCTCCTGAACCGCCACCTCCACCGAGGCTTTCCCCGAGCGCCTCCGGCCCGGCACCGCTGCTGCTCCCCGGGTTCCTGCCACCATGACCCACATCCCCTCCCCTGCTGGGCCTCCTCTGGGGCTCTGCTCGAGGGGGAACCAACAATCGAACGGAGGGTCGCTGTGACGTCTCCGGTTCTTCATCCTCAGGGATCGGGTTGTACCAGATCTCTCCTTCATCGTCGGCGTCATTCTCTTCAGCTGGGTCCACGCTCCGAGGGTGAGGAGGCACTTTGGCCTGACCGACGCTAATCTAAATCAAGACAGAAGCCAAAACATGCCATCTGAACTGAAAGCAACCACTGTGTTTGGTCCTGGTTTGACATTTTTGGGAAATATCCCCTTCTAGTTTCGTGCTGCGAGTTGGATGAGAAGATTGATACCACTCTAATGTCTGCATGCTAAATATAAAGTTACAGCCAGCATTGGGTTAGTGTAGCTTGCCCTGTAAAACCACAACTTGTAGTTTTTGTACAAATTAAACAAACAAAATATAACGTGATAACTGAGCTTTAAAGATGCTGTTAGGCAGGTTTTTTTGTTTTTGGACAGAGTCAGGCCAGCTGTTTCCAGTCTCTATGCTAAGCTAAGCTAACCAGCTGCTGCCTGTAGCTTCCTACAAAAAGCACAGACATGAGAGAGGTATCAATCTTTTCTTGGAACTCTCTGCAAGAAAGCAATGTGTTCAAAATCTTGAACTACTTCTTCATGCTCATTCTTGTTAACAGAGAGACATCGAGGCTAACCTGAGGCAGGTGCAGGCGGGCTGGCCGTGATAGGGCTCCCCCTGAGGGTCTCAGGTGGTCTGGAGAAGGACTGGGAGGAGGTGGGGGCTGATGGGAGCCCTGGTTGCCCTCCTCCTCAGCTCCCAGCATTCCCTGCAGCTCGTCCTTGGTGCAGTGGTTCTTCCCAAGGGAGCTCTGCTGCAGCCAGTTCCGCTTCTTGGAGACAGTGATGGTGGTGAGCGGTGGCCGCCATGACTCATTGGCCCTGCCAACCTCCCGTCCGTTAGCACAGGGGGTTTGGACATTCTCAATGAAAGCTGATGGAGTGATTGGAAAGAGTGTCAGAGTTACAACTTCATGCCGGGAGACAGTAAAAGCTAATTTGATTGGCATAGGAAAGCAACTAATCATCATCATGATCATCATCATTTAAGCAATTACTGAACTGAAGATAAAGACTGAATCAAGTGTTTTATCTCAGACTATTCATGTCCTGTCAAGTTTAAAAAAACATCTGTATCAAGAAACCACAAGTGAGGAAACACTAAATAATGCCATTATGTTTTATAGCCTCATCCATTCTCTTAGTCCTGTGTCTGCCTTTTAAAATCATAAAAAAAGAGCCACGTCTTTGTCTCATTTGATTGCGATGTGTCTTATAACTTTTGGACAGACTATTGTGATTTTGTTTTTATGACCAAAGTCAAACTTTCAATCACACCACCACAGTCCCCCGGAGCACCCCCCCTTTTTTTTATCCTCAGTGACGCTTTGGGAATATGTGGGCTTTGAATTCAAAAGAGATCACAGGGAGATAAAGGGATTTAGCACACATATCTTCCATCACAGCAACTTGGAAAAAAGAGCGAGAAACCGCTGGCATTACAGCTGTGAAAATAGAGCAGAGAGGGGAGGAGGTGTGTGTGTGTGTGTGAGTAAGGGGACGATAAGTACAGCCAGTAGCGATATGTGCAGTGAAAAAGGACAAATAATAGAGACGGTGACGTGGTCCCTTAATGTTCCAAAGAAAGCTTAAAAAAAGAGTCCCTGCATGACATTGAGTGCATAGAGGTCTTTATGGATGTTTTTTTCCCAGATAGTATTTGTTTTCCTAGAAATCAAAAAATCGCCTTTGCAGATCATCTGACATGCTTTTATTTTGCGCTGATGAGCAGATGCAGCCAGAGAAAAACAACCTCTTAGCATGTGTGTATGTGTGTGTGTGACAGAGAGAGAGAGAGAGAGAGAGAGAGAGAGAGAGGTGCTGAGGGCAGGGTCTTGCTCTAACATGTACAGCAGGCTTGTGTAAAAAGACTGTTTTGATCCTCTGCTGCTCCCAGACGAGCCCCTCCACATGCTATAATGACAACTTCTCCTCTCCTCGAGGAAATGCATTTTCATGCACGCCAGTCCAACATCCACCAAATTATACACTTGGGAATATTTTCACTTTAGGAAATTGAAATCTAACACAGGGCATCCACTATGTGCGTGTGTGACTGTGCAATTAAAAAGTGTGAATGAATCAGAATAAACCACAGCCATTTTTTTTCAGTATGATTAATCCAGAGCAGTCCAACAGAAGAAGAAGTGAGTACATTAATAAATCACATGGTTTCTAATTACATAACTTCTACTCAGTCGATTGAGACTAAGGCTGTTTTTTTTTTTGCTTGGTTGCTTTTATTGACAAAACCCTGAAAGTGGCATAGAGAGAACAGAGGGCTTCACTGGGATTTACTTTTCCCTGGAAGTCAACCAGCCTCTCTCAGCTTTCCTGTGATCTACAAGGCAACTTTAGAAAGCAATCGTTGACTCGCAATAATTCTTGCCATCTCCAGTGACTCAAAATCCCATAAACCCCAACTTTAGTCCCTCTCACCACAACAAAACAAGTCTTGAACTTTATTTCTCTACTTGCTGCTTGATTTTTTTTTTCCCCCACTTGAGAAATATGACAAGTATGATATAAAGTGGGATGAAATTGAGTCTGTTAGGGATGCCATTCCTCTGTGTATATAAAACAGCTTTCAGTGTCAAGAACAGGGGCCACTTTTAAAGGTATTCTTAATCTCCAAAAAAGCCATCAGCTACATAAACACAACCGACCACACTGCCTTTGTCATCTGTTTCATTTTCATTCAAAAAAAAGCACAACTTTAAGTATTTCTTCCTTTCTGCTCTGTTTAAGTTAAGGAAGGTTTCCTGCCAGAAACGTGTTTGTATGACCTGAGCTGGCAGCACTGTGTTTGCATTAGCCCGGATTAAGGCTGATGCTGTGTTTGAGGGCCTGGAGATCAGTAGATTTAGCATGTGCTGACTGCTGAGTGAAGGGGAAACATACAGCATGTTTCAGATGATATACTGATTAATGCATAGGCTGTAATAATCTGTTATGGTTTGTTTTCAGCTATTAAGTCTGTCTACAACCAGTGTTTTTACTTAAACATACATGCGCATTACAATAATAATTGGATATTTTTGTAAACTAGGCTTGTAGACTACTTTACAAAATATCTTTTTAAACTTTTAAGACCAAGATACATCCAAATCTCTCTCAAGACTCTCTTTTCGCTAGATAAGATTTCACTAGAAATGTATTTTCAGTCTTGTTAAATGACATAAATACTACAAATAAAGCTAGAAAGCAACATTTAAGGAGGTAAAAAGAAGGAACTATAACTCACTTGAGGATGGGGAAGAATGAAATAAGTTGTAGGACAAGAGGATCATGAGGATATGTGTTAGGGGGGAAGTTTTTTGGGAGAGAGGGGAAACATTTTCAAGACCAAGAGGGATCCAAAGACTGCAGACTCTGCTGCCAACGCTCGGTCTTGTAACGCGAGACTGGAGAGAGGTGAGATGGTTGTGCATGGAGTTGTTGTCAGCATACCATCTTCTTTAAGGGGTCTTTCATAACTGGAAGAGGAAGCGTGTTCTGACATGAGCAGCATTCCAGACCACAGCTCCAGATTTAAAGCCTCACCGCCGTCTCCCTCCACTGTCACACTCCTTCTGAAGTGTAACACAGAGCAACAGCAGGACACTGCTTTGACCTAATAAGTGACATTTCAGCCATATCCACTGGTGTCGAATATCAAACCATCACAAAAACTCTCTAGCTCCTCTCAGCATCTCACATCAACATGTCAGTATTTCCCCATAACAGACAGCTTTTGATGTAAAATGAATGATTCTAGCAGACTATTATTGTGCTGCAGATTCAGTCTGATGAAAAGCAGATAATTGAATCCCTGAGCCTGGTTTTCTAAAAAACAATCTCTAAAATACAATATATAGTTAGTAAGGGGGAGGTGTTTTTACACTGAACACTATTTTCACTGAAATACTCAATTAAAAAGACATCTTCTAAAAACAATAGCTGGAAGTGAAAGACGAACATTTAAGAGATTTAAAAATAATTTCACGCCCTTAAAAATGTAACAATAAAGAATGAATGAACTTCTGTTTGAAAAGCTAAAATGATTAGTTGATTAATCTATTAATCAATCGTCAGGAAATTAATCTATACAATCTAAACAATTTTTGACAATTTTGATTAATAGTTTTTTTCTTTTTTTTTTCTCAAGCAAAAATGTATTATATTATCTAGTTCCAGCTTCTGAGTGTTGAGGATTTGCTGTTTTTCTTTGTCTTATGTGAGAAAATGATGTAAAAAAATTTGGGTGTTTGGATGCATCAAGCAATCTGAAAACTTCATAATTTTCAAGATCAAACAACTATTAATTAATCGAGAGAGTAATCTGTAGATTGATTTGTATTTATCATTAGTTGCAGCCCAAGGTGTTTGTTTACAGAAATATGGGGAAGAATTGTTAAAGATACAACATTTTAATTTATGCCAAGCAGTATATGTCCAATAAAAAAATTAAAGAGCTCCTTTGTTATTCCTTTGTTACGCCATCACAAGCACCTACAAACGCATAGCAAAGCAAAACAGACTCTGTCCATTAAAATTTCCATAACGGGCTAACATAGTCTGGTTCCCTGTGCCGTGATGGCACGAAGACGATGATGTGTTCAGGGCACGGAAAACTCACACCCCTGACCTGAAGGTAACAGATGGCCAGAGCACATAATACAAGGGTGCACGTCTGTGTGAGAAAATTAAAAGAGAATGAGAGAGGGAGAGGTGGATGGGGGGGAGCGATATGGGTTTGTCTGAGGTGCTGAAAGGAATGCAAACTTATAAAGAAAAAAGCTGATTTCCTGGATGTTGGTGTGAACCTGTGCCACGTGAGCCTGACAGTAAACCCAATTACATTCACGTCTAAATCTTCTGAATGACTGAATCATTTTCTCCTCAAAACACAAAACACTTGATCCACTTTCCCATAGGCTTTTTCTTTTATTTCCGGAATTCCTTTTGCTTTATAGAAGCTCCTCTTTTGATAAGTGCAAGACACACACCAGCTAGTTTTCTCCTCCATACAGACAACACTTTGTTGTGTGTACAAAGTTTTGGGTTCCCCCCCTTCAGAGGGAATCTTTTGCTGTGTGCCATACATTCCTGTTGACACTCATTCATATGGTAATGAGGATTCTCAGTGTAGATTTTTCTTTTATACACCAATGCAGAGCTGAGATCGTCCAGGGTTGCATCACATGTCAACACTTGCATCCCGTTGAGGCGTCCTGGCAACACAGCCTGCTAATGCTAATGCCACTTCCTCCTCAGTATGTTGGCTTGAAACCCAAATTCTTTTCAATGTTGCCACTCTTTTAGTGAACCTTCTGTCCTGTCTCCTTGTTTTTGGTTAAAAAACTGATAAGAAATGCTTCAGGGAGGGACGATCTAAAAAAAGGCACATGGACTCACAGTGTGACCCAATTAGGTCCAAAACACACGAGTAAACGTAGGACATATCATTGAAAGGCCCTTCAGCAAAGCCTTGCACAGTATCTCCGGATAAAATGCCAACTAATAAACACAATACAGTTACTTTTACTGATAATCAATCATTTAAAATTGCCCAGCAAGTTGCTAGTGTTCGCCCCACACCACTTGCAGACTTCATCATGTGACTCATACATCTCATAAACCATTCTGGTATGAACCCTGCTGCCTCAAGTTTCTCCTCCATCACCTGATCTGTCTTTAGAGCTACCATCCTCCATAAATCTGTCCAAGTACAGACGCACCAGACAAGACAAATGATTGTACCTCCACCAACAGCCATGTGTGTTTATGTGAAAAAAAAAAAAAAACAATTCTTCAGCTCAGTAACATGTATCTGGCACAATGCAGAAACCAAACGCCATATCGTTCTGACATGACTTGACAGCAGTCAGGGAGGATTATATTACACCTGCACTCTCGTCTCATTCTGGAGCTACTTTGAATCTACTGAGCAAGCAGGGACTAATGTAATCAAAATGTTGAGCAATACTGCACGAATCCAGAGTGAGTGTGTCTTTGCTGTTCTTCTTGAAGCACATTTTGGGAAATATATATGTTTGCTTGCTGCGATTAGTTAGAAGATCAATACCTCTCATGTTTATATGGCAAATATGAAGTGACAATAGAAGAAGTACTGAAAACATGGGGAAAGAGCTAGCATAAGATTTACACATTACATCTAATTTGTTTCATTTGTGCAAAAAAATAAATCTGGAAAAATGGCACATTGCGGAGCGGAGACTCCAGGAAGTCACTGCTCCCTGCCAAGAAATAGTCTGGCACATAACTGCTTGTAAAACCACAACTTGTCAAATTTTATACTTTGTTTTTAGTATGAATTAAACAAACAAGCTTTAACATGTTAATTAACAAGCTTTATACATATTTTGGAATTTTGGACAGAGCCATGTTAGACCCCTAGCTAAGCTAACAGACAGATATGACATAGTTTGCTTATTTTCTCTCTGGTATTCCTTTAAAAGCTGTTTTCGGGGAGATACAAAAGGCTATTTCTCTTTTTTTGCCTGATGCAGCTCTGCTCCAAAGCCGTCCGTATTTCTAGACATGCAAACAGGGTATGATTTTCCTCTTAGTTTGAACCACAGGACATAAAAAAAGAAGAAATAAAAGAAAAGAATATCTGCCTCCCAGGAGTGGATCTCATACTCTTCTGTTTGTGGTGTCTATGGCTCAGTCTAAACATCAGCTTTGACTGACACACCACTCCTGAGTTCAGGTCTGGCCAAAATATGATGCCTGGATACTGCCTGCCTGCCGGCAAGCCATTCCTCCGCCACAGCACAACAAAACTATAAATTCTCCGACTGCAAATACTAACATGCATGTACACACCGAAGATGTGTACATGCATGCTCATGTGCACAATATCCCTCACCCACACATATACATATAAGGAGTGACACACTTAGCTGTGGATGATAACCGACAATATTTTTTTTACACAGCAATTAATGGACAAGTCAGGACAGAAATATATTAGAGGCAGTTTAATTAAGCCAATATTTTGTCCTATGACTTCATGAGGTTTAATTTCCAAGAAACACACAGGCGGGGGGGACAGAAGTATTTTTAGAAAGTCTAAAATATATAAATATTTGCATCAACAAAGAGTAGAGCCATAAAGTGAAGAGAAATGAAGAGTTTCAAGCCAAGACAAGCAATTCACTGGAGCTTTTGAGAGCTTTGGCATTTCTTTTTTTTTTTTTTTAAATGGCTCTTTGTGAGGCACTGAGAGGCCCACAGGGGCAAGATAAGCCCAGCGCTGACCTTAATAAATACTTAATCACCCTTCATTTTGTTCATTCATGGTGAGGAATTAAGTGACACAACGCAAACAAGTTAAACAACAGGAATGGCATCCTAAATATTCAATCCAAAGTCTCTTTAAAATGCAAGTTACCATGGAGCTGTCCAGAGCAAACGACTGGGGAGGAAGGCAACATGACAGCCCAACAACCCCCACCCCCCGCGCCCATATTCTCAAACAAACACACACACACACAGACAGACAAACACACACACACACACACACCACTACCACAGAGAGTAACTGCAGTGGCTTCTCTCCTGCTTTAGATTCCTCTGGCCACAGCTGTGGAAAAGTTCAGTGGGGACAGAGAGGGGAAAGCTGCACAAAATGGGGAAAAAATGAGAATCAAGGGGGTAAAGAGACCTTGGAAACTAATATCAAGAAGAGTCCTGTCTTTATTCTAACTAAAAGACAGCAGAGGAAAGAGCTTGAGATGTAAAACGTTGGAGCTATGTTGAGCCAACCGCGGGCTGGAAGTCAAACACAGAGGCCTTCCGCTCAGCAGCCTCAGATATCACACTCTATTTCTAGCAGCACAGCACACTGACAGTCAACAACAGCCTGCGCACATGGCAGGTCATCTATTTACTGAAAAACAGTCAGAACAACACACACACACAGTCACAGGCACGCACACGCATCCAAACACTTACAAAACTAGGAGTGGTAGAATAAAGAGACGGTGATATGTTTTTGATCCATACAAAGGGAACCCATTTCCACAAACTGAGCAACAAATGTCAATACAAAGTTTTCCACACAGACTGTTTCCGAATCCTATGATTGAACTGGCCAACTGCCTTGTTTGCAGTCAATTCAGGTCAGCATGGACACAAAGTGCAATTCATTTTGTACAACCAGGCACTACACACAGTGAAATGGTAGCTAAATTCATATGCAATGTACTGTAGTACTATAGTTTACCATCACTGCAAGGTGAATCAATGAATGTAAATGTCATTAATAGCTGATAATAAGTAGTTAAATGGACCACGCAGTGAGATTATTTTGTCAACTACAGTTTCTGAGGTTAATTCCATGACAAACTGTGCAAACTCATCTGCTGGGGGATGACTGAGAGCTCCAGAACAGCCACTAAATGGACCTCTGACTATCTCACATTTAAGTTGCATTTTAAACACCCATGCATACTCATTTGGTAAAACACGATAGTTAACATGTGTCACTTGTTGCTGTCCGTGGTTTCATGATACAGATGTTTTCCTGTTTTTGCACCTCATCACAAACACAACAAGAAAGCACAATCAGAAAATCATTTTGTACATAATTAAAAGACACACACACACACACACACACACACACACACACACACAAACCCCACCACCAACACCACGAAGAACACCACTGCAGCTAGCGGAGGAGAGTGAGTTGGTTAGTTATTGAACTACACTGTGAGTGATCCGACCTACAACCTCATGTGCTATTAATTTAGTGTTAAAATGCACCTAAATTAGTGTGAAGGACAGAACCCGCCACCGGTTAGAGAGTCTTAAAAAGGAAAGCAAAGAGGTCTGAGGAGCCTCGTCCCTTTTGCTTTGCATCCAGAAGAGGAAGAGTGCAGGGGTGGACCGCCACCAGGCGGAGTTTACTATGAGTGGAGGAGGATGACAATAATCAGACGGGAGGAAGGAGGGTGAGAGGTCTTTGATTTAGAGGATCCACAGGAGTTGAGGCCACTCCGTGTAGCCTTCCTACCTGGCTGCTGCTGCCGTGATGACTTGATTGTAGGTGACTTGGTCTTGATAGATTTAACCCCTCGGCTGGATGTCTGGACCCCCGGTTTACACCCACCGAGGTTAGCCTGATGACAGGAGCGGTCCTGGCTTTGGCCTCCACCACGGGGCAAAGCTGAGCCCTCGATGCGTTGCTTCATCTCAGAGGACAACAAACGGCCCTTGTGCATCCACTCTTGCATCTTGTTGACAGTGACACCGTGCCCCTTGTTGGCAGGGTTAGCCCCCTGTGCTCGCACTCCCGTCAGCTCCTGCTTGTTGTCGTGACCCTGATGTGTCGATGCATCGGCGTTGCTGTCTGACGAACCTGTGAGGCTGTTGACCGAGCCGCTGCTCTCATTAAGCTGCCCGCCACGGTCTTCATCACCGCCAGCTTCCTGTAGCAGCTCATCACTGCTGATGGCACTGTAAAGCGCCCGAGGCTCTGACCGCTCACCCACTCCTGCGACTTCAGCCTCTTTTGTCTCTGTGGCCCCTTTTTCACCAATGACTACCAGACCCTGCGCTCCAGGGGCCCGAACAAAGTGCGAGGGTCCACCTGGATACCTGAAAGCTCCGTCACTAGCAGAGCGCAGTAACGTGGGTCTTTTCTTGGTCAAGGAGAGGTTCACCATACTCTTACTGTTAAGTCTACCTCTGAGGCATGACTCAAGGTTTCCACTGAGGCAAAGCAGGAGTGAGTCAGTGTCAGACACCTGCTGAGGGCTGTGGTCGCCCCCTGAGGACCAGGAGTCACTGTCCATGTTTTTGGCAGACAACCTGGAGCACAGGCTATCCCTGGAGTGGCTACTACAGGAGGAGGTGGCCTGCTGCTCCGTTAAACCACCGCTAATCTGCTGGACATCCAGGTTGATATCATTCATAGCGTTGATTAGAAGATAATATGCTTCTTTCAGCTGGTTCCTAAGCCTGTCTGTTTCCTGGGCACTGTTACTGTCATCCAGCTGACCTTTATCCTGACAGGGCTGTGGCAGCTCTGCAACCTCTGCTCTGTCGCCATCACTTTTTGCCCTCACAGTTTCATAAAAAGGCAGAATCTCATTGTCATAATAATCATCATCTTCGCTATCTAAAGTGTATCTGAGTGAGCCCTCTGTGGCGCACAGGGATGCCATGTTTATGTCGCATATTTCTAACTCTGTGGGGAAAAACGTCGGGCTCTGCAGAGTGCCAGCAGTCCCTCTAATGTCCCCTGCGTACTCGGGCCCGTAAGTCTCAACGTTTCTGATTAAAATGTTCTCTTCCGTGTTTCTTGGGTGCGCAAGTGCCGCGCAAACTGGCGTGTCTGTCTCCAAAGTTTGGTTGTCAAAACTCCTGTTGGCGTTGCGTTCGTTCACAGCCACTACTGTCCCTGCCATGTGCCGGGAGTGTCCTCTGTCCCTGGGCTCTGTCCCATCACTATCAGTACTAGTAACCCGGCCCTCTGGTGGTTTACCCACCCCGGTATCCGGTTCTACCCGTGCACGGTACAAAACGTGGTTTGAATTGTCCCCAAACCCAATTGAATCCCCAACGCTGCACTGCTGCGGGACCGAGACGAAGTGTTTTCTGTGGACATGCGGTTCTCCTTGCGTGACTCCCGCCGTTAACGCAATTTTGCCACCGGTTCTGGGCCCCTGGTGGCTCCTATCTCCCTCCCTCACCGCGTGTCCCCCAAACTGCACGTCTCTTTGAAGTGAGACCCCCAGGAGCTCCTCATTAACCCGAACCCTGCCCCCGCTGCTCCGCTCCTGGAGACGTGCGCCGGCCAACTCTGCTGCGCGACTCTCCCGGACTATTACAACCCCCCCGGTTTGCACCATCGCCCCGTCAACACAATTCTCATATGTACTCATTCTCTCTGTCGTGCAATCCAGCCCTGCGAGCAACACTACCGGGCGAGCCTCGTCGGAGTCTCGCTGCGTTTGCAAAACTTTTTCTTTACCTTCTCGGCCCCCATTCGCCGCAGCAGCCGCAGCAGCAGCAGAGCCGTATCCACCGCCGACCGTAGCTCCTTTCTTGGATTTCTTCCCCCGGAGTTTCGCTAGTAAAGTCCTCCGCAGAGGATCAGCCATTCCTTTCCTTTGCCCCCTGTTAATTCCTCCCGGTTTCTTTCAGCACGCTGGCTCCAGAAGGAAAGGGCCGAGTGGGTTCTCCTCGCTCGCCGCGGTCAAAGCTCGCCGGGCGGACGGGCTCCTCTCCATTCTCCGCTGTCACCTCCGCTCTGTCGCCTCACTCACTCCTGGCTCTCTGCACCACCTCTCTCTCCCTCCCTCCCTCACTCTCTGCTCCACACACACACACAAACACACACACACTTTGCCCTCCTCCCTCCCTCTTTTTTTCTCTCTTCCTTTCTCTCTAGCGCCTCACCTCACCTTCTCCTCGTGTTTGCAGCTCAGATATTTGGAATATTTCCCTGGCTCAAATGTTCAGGGACGTTGCACATATCTGCATGAAAGCTTCTTTAAACAAAAACATTCAACTGGACATTATTCATTATTTAAAGGTGTAACAAACAAACAACAACAAAAAAAAAAATCATTTGTAGAATGAAAAACAAGCACAACTAAACATCAGGTCAGAGGTCAAATCATCTCTTGGATACCTGTAGTATTTACAGTTTATTAATGTCCCAGTTAAATTAACAGTAAATAGACAATTAAAATATTGGAGGGGTCTTCCTGATGAGTTAAAGAATCTAAAAAGTGTCCTGCAGGAGTGGGATAAACACCAACCACAACATGGCAACCAAAAATTAGATCGTTAAGGCTTTTAACGTATTTTTGTAAATAATTTATTCACCACAAATAAAGCCAGTTACAACTTAATAACCCATTTTGATTTATGATTTTCTAGAAAGGTGTACGCTGTAGCGATAAACAAACATAAAGTAAAGTAGGATCATATTAAACCCAACATATATTACAAATGCAATCAGTTTCCATTAAAAGAAACATACAGGCTATAACCGTCACTACAGGAAGGATGTTTGTGATCAATCCATAAATCTATGCATTTCATTTGTAAATGCAGGACAGGGAATGCAGCAGTATAACGGGCAGCAGTAGTAGCTGAAACCATGATCAATTAATTGATTGGTCAATCAACAGAAGTTGAATCAGCATATAAAGGATGACGATGGCTCCAAATGTCATCAGAGTGTTTACTGTTTGTTAATACAGGTATACAAATGTAACATTACATTACATTTGGCGGTGGTTAATTTTGATGTTGCACCAGATGGTCCTGCGACCTACCAGCACCTGACTGTTGTTGGCGGTGCGTGGGGAGTTTTGTTTACGGGTAACATTATAGGTTTCATGCACAGGATAAGACTATAAGTTTAGGTTGATGGAATGTGAAATGCAGCTCCAGCTTCTCTATTGAAATTCAACACATATTTGTCTTTGAAATGTGAATTCAATTCAGTCGGAGAGCAGCGAGCCAGGACTTCAAATTACCACCTTCACTGGTAGCTGTGAAGGCATTTCAGCAAACAGCCGGAAAAACAACCCTCATCATCTCAGGGGAAAATGTGCTTGACCCTCTGCAGAGATAGAGAGAGAAAAAAGTGTTGGTCTCAGCAAGAAACAATTAGGAATGAAGGCTCTGAATCCTCTCTCAGCCTTTACAAATGAGCTGGATTTGAGTTTGTCACGAGAAATTTGTCTTTTAGTAGTTTCATCTTCATTATTACCCACGCACGAAGGCTATTTTTTTATCCTCCAATGGCAACAGCAGCCTAAAAGCACAGCCTGCCACATGATGGATCACTGCCGATTATCGGACTGACACTTTTATCTGAAGTGTATCTTGAGTAATCCTCTCCTCTTTGACCTTGCATCTAACCCCTGTCCCTGCTCGCAGCACAACCCAAGACTTTAAGAGCGGCGGAGACAGCAGAGAAAGGAATGAAACATACTTCACTTGAACCTTAAGCCATTTGTTTGCTGTTGCCTCTACTTGGAATGTGCAAGAGGATGAGCTGCTGAAAAGCTGCAGTGGGTGTAAGAGTGCACATGCGCTCTCCGCCTCTCTTTAAAGCACACACACTTACACTCAAATACCTACACACACACTCTCTCTGACTGAATCTGACTCTCTTTCCTAAGGTACAGTGTCTACCAATGATTGAGGGCATTTATTGTCAGAGCCATTCATCGACAGGGCCCCGACGTCCCACATTCACCCTCCTTCTCCCCCCACCTCCCCCCACCGCCACCACTACCCTCAGTAAAACATGATAAGCATCTGTTATTGCTCTGCAGGAGCCGCGTAGGCCCTGACGCCTCGGCCTATATACCTCCCCATCTGACTGACTAGACCCTGTCTGGGCAGTTATTTACAGGTCAAAACCTGCAGGCTGCATAGTGAGTCTTTGTGTGTGAAAGAGAGAAAACGGGAGAGGAGAGGGTGTAGAGGGAGAAGAGGCTAGATGCATCAGGGAGGACAGAAACCTTTGGACCAGACAGAAGTGTTGCAATTGTTCAGCACATTCACTGCAGGGCACGAGAAACGTCTTGTTTTTGACAAATAACGTCTGTTAGTGCAATTATTATGCTGGGAATGTCATGCATTCCTGAAAATGTGATCTTGTCTTGTGATACGACTTAGTACCTGAGGTTATAGAACAATGCATGCAGTGGTGGCTTGTTGTACGTATTGCAAAAGAAAATTGTGTTAGAAGAAGTGATGGTATATAACTAAGCACATTTATCCAAGTGCTGTACTTGAGTGAAGTCTTGAGATACTTGTGCTTTATTTAAGTAATTATTTGATCTATAGCCTGATTTGTTTAACCAACAGTTTAAAACCTAAACATCTTCAATTAAAAAGGTACTTAAACAATGAATTGGTTATCAAGTTACATTACAAATAAAGATTATTACATGCAACATATATGATGAGCTGATAAAATATGATGCAAAACCTGTGAAAAGACCAAAACCAACAATGAATTAATCATTAATTAACAACTATTGATTGATATATTTTATTCGTCTGTGCCATAGAGCGGCATTGTCGTCCACAAACTCTTAATAACACATTGTTAAACCACACTGTTGCACTCAGTGACATGTTCCTTCCTTACCGTGAACAAAGTTTATTTTAAGACAGACACCGTCCTGACTGCTGTTAATATGCACTAACACTCATGCATCATGCATTAATCAACGGCTGAAAATAGTCCACAACAAATGCACTATTTCCTCCTGTTTGACTAACGTTAGGTAAAAATTACAGTGTCCAGCTATTTGATTTGATCTTCTATTAATTATTTAGCCTTCTTAAGTCTTCAGTAGTGTCTTAATGAGCTTGGTGCTGTGTGCCACAGACAGGATAAGGAAGTCTGAACATTCATTATCATCACAAAAAAATAGAATAAAACCAGTCTTATCCAAAGCCAAAATTGTAAATCTGCATATTTACTGACATTAAAAAGAGTATTTTCACATTGTGGTATTGCTACTTTTATTTAAAGGATGTAAACACTTTGTTGTGCTCTGGTTAATGTCATTAGGTTATCCTTTATCTTGCTTTGATTAGACCCTTTTAAATACACATCTTGCGTCGGTGTCATCACACTACCGAGCAAAACTGGTATGAATGACATAATAAAACAAAACATGGAATGAGTTAACAAAGATTTAAATGAACACAAATAAGCACTTGTCAAGAGTTACTCTGCATGCTGACTCAACAGGGCAGGAGAAAATGAGGAAGCTTGTCCCCCTTTTCTTTCTTTTTTTTCCTCCACCAGTCACTTGCGTCCTTTGTGAAGCCAGTGGCAGAACATCTGCTTAGCTGGCCCCCTTTCAGATGGCCCAGCCAGTGTGTATGAAAAACTGTGTGTGTGTGTGTGTGTGTGTGTGTGTGTGTGTGTGTGTGTGTGTGTGTGTGTGTGTGTGTGTGTGTGTGTGTGTGTGAGAAAGAGAGAGAGAAAGAAAAGTAGAGAGAATACATATGTGTGTATGTGGGTGCATGTGAGTGTGTGTTGGGATACGGAGCTTTGCAGCTGTTGAGGCTCTCCTCCTGATGGCTGCCCATTGTTCCCTCTCTCTGTGTCTCTGGCTCTCTCTGGCCGGTTTATGGGCCTTCCCCTTTTCTCAGTGCACACCGCAACTAAATTTATGTCCTTGGACACAAGCCTTTCTCAGGGTATAAATTAGGCTACATGATCCCTGTCAAAGTAGGGTTACCAAGTGCCTGCAACTTTACGTTCCAGAGAGTTGCATTATTGTCATTGCTATTCACTTATATTTTACTATTGAAGAAGAAAAAAATCGAAATGGAACTCTTATTGTGACTCACTGCATTTCTTTTCCACACTAGTGGCTTGTTAAAGTTGGGGTTTTGTTTTTGTGGAAGTTACATTTTGAACAATTTATCTTTGGAGTAATGGGTTTAATAGCTGCATTTTGCTCAAATTTGACTATTTCCATTAAACAAGGAATCAGTTGTTTTACAAGAGAGTCACCCTTGTCAGGGTGGAAAAACAATTTAGACAAAAACTGGACAATGAAACCCTTTAATAATAGAGTCCAGGTTAAAGTAATCCTTTTGTGTACACAAATTAGTGTAATTAAATGATTAGTGTGAAAATAAGCACAATTCATTGTGCTTTGCAGTGCTTTGCTGCATCTGTGTTATCAGGTTAGGGTCAAACATTATGACCCATACAACCTTCATGTAATATCGAAACTGTAATAAAAAAGGCCAATATCAGCCAGCTCATCGTAAACACAAGTATTCAGTATTTGACTTGGTGCCAGAAAACATCAAATCCATTTGTCTGGACCCCTTCTAAACTCTTATCTCATGAGATATAAACCTGAATAAGATAGCTGGGATATTAACCATAATATCCTGTTAGCTCATGTTGGCTGAAACGTCTGTGAGAGGTTGTATAAAGATGCAAAGCAAAAGTAAATACCAAATAAGGCCTTTCTAACTGTAGCATCTGGAATAAAGTGTTCCTCTGAAGCACACACAGTGACTCATAGAGGCTAAATTGAGCATTCGAAGTCAGTAAAATTATATTTCATCCATTCTTGGCTTTTGTGTGATACTAAAACTCTATCCTGTAGCCACTTTACCACTTTTACTGACAAACTGCTCTCAACAGAAGCTGCACATAGTGAAAATAAAAGCAAAATGCTCACTAATCAAATAGTTTAGGGTCTATAATGGCGGGAAGAACAGTGATCTCCCTGTGATCAGTGTAAGATAAATGTAATGGACTTGTCTGTCATGTATTTTCTTTGCTTTTAATTCATAAAGACTGAAAAATAAATAGAATAAAACAACAGAACAGACCAGGTCACCAGGGGCAACACATATGTTTATACATAAGGCTGGGTTTACTGTATGCTAAGGGTTACTTTCCCATTTTTCACAGGAAAAAAAAGTACATAAGTAAGTCTTAAATAGAAAATTGCAGTTATTATTATTCTATTCTATTATTATTGTATATTTATTCTTGATTGTCAGAAAACAGGAAGAAGAACCCCCTCCCCAAGGTGACATCTTGAAATTGCATTTTTCATCAGACCAGCAGTTTAAAACACATTTTACTGCAACATAAAACAGAGAACAACTGTGTTGTATATGAACAAAATAATCCAGCTCAGTCAATCATCTTCATGCCACATTGCACTTAATTCCTAAGATTCTGCAGTTTCTCCCATTTTCTTAGAAGAAGATGAGTTCTCCCCTGAAAAAGGCTTTAAACAGCAAATGTTTGTCATTTTTTCAAGAAAAATAACTATTAAATTATTAATAACGATTTATGGATTATCAAGACCGTTGGTAATTAATGACCAACTTGTCAATCAGTTGTACTGACAATTATGTGAATTGATTTTAATTGGTCTAATTATGTACACAACTTGCTGTAGCCACTTAAAGGTCCAGTGTGTAATATTTAGAAGAATCTAAGCATATTTATAAGCAGTTCACCACTGGTTGAACCGCCGTGTTTCTACAGTAGCCCAGGTGGGACAAACCAAACACTGACTGTAGATAGGGTCTTTCGCGTTCATAGCAGCCACCGTAGTTTCTCCAACACACTCTTCTTCCCACGTTGTCAAATACAGATGCCAGTGGCGTTGAGTTAGTTGCAATCTGCAACTTTACCACTAGATGCCACTCAATCCTTCACACTGGTCCTTTAATCCCAAATGGGTAAACCATAGGACAAGGGATAACATAGTTCACACAGATAGTATCTCCTCCATTATTGACCAGCAGCCAGTTTAGCTGACCGCCGCTGGCTGATTTCTCCATTTCTGAGACAAACACACACACACACACACACACACACACACACACACACACACACACACACACACACACACACACACACACACACACACACGCATAGAGTCTTGGAGTCTGTTCTACATCATTATCAACAGACAACCTCTGACATGTTTATCATGACAAGAGGTCAGACTGCTTGTCTCTTGCTACTGTTCTTTATCATCTCTGAACGTTCCCTTCTCTGAGTGTATCAGTCATGCGATCTGGCTTAAAATGTTCAGCTTAAAAGTTTATCTTCATGTTCATACTGTCGGTGTGTGGAAACTAAATCCCTGCGCTGCTATCATCTCACTTGCAAGTGTTAACTTTGCTTCAAGATAGGACTCAGTGTGTCCCAAAGTTATTAATCTGAAGAGTTACTGAAATGAAACATTTACTTTATGATATGAATGTTTTTTAAAGTTCTTGAAGATTTCCATATCTTAACATAAGTGATATATTCACTTTGTTAGCATTTGTGTGGCAATGGCTCTCCAGTGTATTCAGATTATATAACAGTTTCATTTGTGCAGGAAGGTACACAGAAATGGCAAATAATCTATAATTACCCCAAAAACACACACAGGAAAGTACCGTACATGAGTTTCAATGTTGTGGGTTTTAAGAGTGATTTTCTTAAGATTTGTTAAGAGGTCCTAAACTTGTGATAAATTAGCTATTTTTTGTAGTTTGTAATCCCCAGTTCTTACTTGTTATTTGCAGCTATAATCACTATCCTGTCTGACACTCTGATGCTGTTCCTTTCTGAAGATCTGATGAAACCTTTCACTTGTTCTTGGGTGGTATAGAGGAATGGAACTGGTACGTCAACTTCAAGGCGGATCAGTTGGAAATATTCAGCTGCATCAGTGGCCAGTACCCCAATGTTTCTGTAAATTACAATATTATATTACTGTCTCACCACTGTTTGGAAACTTTGACTCCACGCTCAATATATGACCAAAAGAGAAGAACTTGTGGTTTATAGATGATGGTTTCCTCTGAGCCAGGCAGGAATTTTGATATTTTTGATGATTTCAACGTGATAGCATACATAGATAGTTAAGCTCTCAATATTCTTCTCATCTGAAATGAAAGCTCAAATGACAGGTTAGAGGGATCTGTTTGTCTGCGGCTGCACAGAGGTTTTATTTTCTGCTGAACATCTGTTTCACACAATCAGCATGATCTGCTGGTGTGAAAAACAACTGTTTGCCTCTAGAAAACATCCCTTGATGAGTGAAGAGAAGTCAACAAGTCAGTGAGTGTGTTGATGTGGAACCAGCATCCTGGTTCCAGTTCATAAATTCTGCTTGCGCTGTGGCTTTATGGACTCCAATGTCAGTCTGTCATTGCTGATCCAGACTAAATCTGCCATGAAATTCTTTTCAGGCATTCATGGTCTCAGGATGATGAATCAATTACTTTGGTGGTCCCCTGACTTTTTCTCTATAGTGCCGCCATGAGTTTGACATTGCTGGTTTTTAATGAAATTTGCTAGAGATATTCAAGGTCCCTAGAGGATGAATTCAACTGACTTTGGTGACTTTTCCAAAGCAGCACCATCTTCATTGTGAATTTCAATACTGTGTATTGAGCTGTCTCCTTTAAGTGAACGATCCCATCTTAGAGCCAGTTTCATTCTTTCTTTCTTTTTATAATTTAGGCTGATATAAGACACAACAGAATGAACATATTTTATACAGAAACACTTGATTATAACATTAAGACCAAACCTTGGCGAGATTTTTTGACTTACACTATGCCGTGTAAGTCAAAACCAATAAAACGTGCAATACACCTGTAATAGTTTATGGGTTTTCTTTACATTATTTAAGGTATTCATACCAACCATAATGTAAAATTATGGTATTCTGGAAAGTTTAGTTTAATTATTGCTGAGGTAAGTCCCATCACTATTGGTTATGACGAAACACCTGCAAAACTAATGATGCCCCATCAGTTCTTCTCTGTTTGTAGTGCTAACTAGCTAATGATAAAATGCTAACAGGCTACTCCATGACGTTGCACCTGGTAAATATCATCTGCATGTTAACACTGTAACTGTGAGCATGTTAGCATTTAGCCTCACAGCGCTTGCAGGCCTGTAGACTCATAGTCTTGTAACCTTTTTCTATTAAAGAAAAATAGGGGTAAGTATTTGTCTTATATTGGCTTTGGGCCCCCTGCAGCACCAGACAACAGCCAGGACTAAATTTACATACAAGCTGTGACATTGTGCTGACTGTGTGAAAATGTCAGAAGTCAGATAGTAGCAGCTGTAGGCAGCCAGCTCAGTAAAGGTCCCTGAATACTCAATGGCCATCATGAGGTCTTGACCTTCCAGTAAATGTGTCACAGTGATAAACGGTTAGTGTGACTGACACTTTTCATAGACCTGACTGGACCAGGAAACAGACCTGGAGTTATTGTAAACCTTGTGCAATTTAGTTAATAAGTGACAATAAGGTGACTACCGAAACCTTATTTAGACATTGAGAATTTTGTTGAGGTGAGATATGCTTTTTAGGACTTCAGTGACTGATGTTCTGATTGTACAAAGCGTAACATAAGACCAAGATGTTCTCTTTTATTAAGTGAAGATAAGGTCAGCCATGTGTGACATCCACTGGGACTAAAAAATGCTTTCCTTTGGTAACATGATCCCTAGAATACAAAGAGGCTACAGACCAGGAGTGATTTAGATATCGTATGAAAGACACTGACAATTCAACACAACAAACAATACACAAAAACTAAGGTGGAATTTAGGTTCTCCACACGATTCTAAGAATAGAAACCCGCACAACATCTATATTCTGGGAAATTTCCAGCTGCAAGGTTGACGGCAACGTGAGTAATTCTTGAACACTGATAGATGTGACCCCGCTGGTCATTGCTCATACAGTCAGTGCGAAGAGAGAAGTTATTTGTTCGTAAATATGGCTGATAAAAATCAGTCTGCTGCTATTGTGCAGGACCAGTTACACATTTCAGACAAGGCCAGGCACATACCTGGAGGCTGGAATTTTATCAGAGGCATATTTACCACTATTTCATGTCGACCCACAGTGACAGATAGGTCAGGAATTCCTCTGATCACTAAGCTGTTGCAAAGTGGAAACTTTTCTTTTTTTGCTGCTTAGATTTGCTCCAATGGTCACAGAAATTTGAGTATAGTCTATTACATGAATTCTAATAATAATAATAATAATAATTGAGCTTTACTTTTCGGTGAGTTAATTTCCTGTAGCTCTTTCTGAACTTATGTCTTAAATAATAAAATTCAGCTGACAACAGTTTCCTCCAGTAAAATACCTTTTATTGCCTAAGTAGTTTATAATGAATAGTATAACACTTAAAACAAACCATAAAATGATCTGTTTACACTGAATGAGCAGATCTGCTGGCTTGATAAAACCGTACAATGTTCAAAACACCTTCTGATATACTAAACATGCAAGAAGTTTTATTTCACACGGATGTAAAAGTGTTTTGTAATACAAGGTACATGAGACTGAACAAACAGTCCGTATGCATCAAGTATCTCAAGAGAACTGAGATGAGACAAACTCCCTTTCTGACCAACCGTATATACACAGACCCTGGTTGTAATTTGGGGTGCCCAAAGTTTACACAAAGTCCAGTGGACTTGACTACAAACATGAAGGGAGTATATTCTAGTGTAGCTTAAGGGCGACATCTAGTGCCCATAAGCAGGAAGAACAAGCAAGATTTTATAATTGCAACAGATTTACAGCCATTTTTTAAAATCACATTTTTGAAGGAAAGTCACTGTATTAACACAACACAAACACAGTCATTTCAGTGATTATATATTTCGTATATAATACAAGACAAACACAGATCGGGTAAAGCACCACAGCCAGACGTCACTGTTATTTTAGCTCATTTAAATTAAAACAAAGAGGAGGCAAAGCCAAACTAACCACACTTTATGTGCAATGTATCACAACAAGCAAAACTCTCTTTTAAAGTTCAGTAATTTGTCGTAGTGTTGGCCTTCATCCCTATTGGTCGTGGGTAACATTTTATTAACCAGCTTCTTTGCAAAGACCTAGAGACACAGGGACTCAAACGAGAGCAATCAGGCAGGTTTAAACAAGTCTCATTTCACCTTGTTGTAAAAACTGCGTGTTCGGAAGTAAAGCGAAGGTGACGCCAAACTGGGACCAAACCTGTCTAATTACTTGTTTGGTAATGCCCAGTACATGTTGTAAAGCTGTGTCTAGTAATAGCCCTCATCCCTGTGTCCTTGGAAGAGAGCTGGTGAGGATGACGGACAAAACTATTTGGAAAAACAAACAAAAATATGACGTAGACTGTAAAACACCTGAATTTTCCTTTAACTTTGGAAAATAGTCCACAGGGATGTACTGGAAATTGAGCTCTTAAGTTGAAAATATTGCAGCAGGACTATCATATACTATATGATTTTTGTTTAAAGTGTGCTGACAGTCCTTTGGAAACAAAAACAAGTATAAATATTGCAAATTATGTCAACATACAGGCAAAAATGCCTGTTTGCGTTCGCAGCATACTACCTACAAACTGGACCATTGTGCTAATATTTGTGAATGTTCTCGGCTGACATAAAATGTTTAAATTAGAAACAGACTCCTTGTTGCAGGCAGTTCGGGCCTCACTCAATATTTTGCCTCAGGATCCTTTTCTCCTCCTCTACGAAATTCTTGTCGGAGGTAGCTTGTCCCATTTCCCTCTTCCTCTTCTCCTTCTGCTGGAAGGTCTCCACTCTACGTTTCTTGGAAGACAGGTCTCCCTTATCGGATTCATCATCTGGTCGGCGGTGTGGAGCGGAGAGAGGGAAATAAAGATTACTCAACAGCACGCTATCAACGATAGACGCTATTTCTGCGCAGGTACAAAGCTTAAGTTTTTGTTTTGTTTGTGCTTGTTTAGTAATTTTATGGCTACCTACATCCCCTTTCCCACCAAGATGGGTGGAGTGATGCAGCTGTGTTTTACATCTTTGGGTACCACTGACACTGCCCTGGGTTTTATAGCTCAGTCCATTCGCTAATCACCAGGGAACAGGTCGTTTTTTCAGGCTTTAGTTGGAAAAGGGTACAGGTTTGTACATGGATATGTTTCAACCAATATTTTAGGATGACAGAATTGTCCCGGCAATATTTCAGCGCCACATCTTTGGAGTGAAGCTCAGAGACAGAAAAGAAAAGAAAAGAAAAGAAAAGAAGAGAGAGAGAGAGAGAGAGAGAGAGAGAGAGAGAGCGCTACCAGCCACAAGCAGCTGTTTCTACGCTTCTCCCCCTGCTGATTTTGACACTTAAAAAAAGATATTTTGTGCTTTGCTAATGTTTTTATGTGAGTGTTCTGATAAATAAATGTATTCTTTGATTTAGAAAGAGTACCTTTAGGGCTTGTGTCCATTTTAGCCTAGCAATTTGGAAGAGAGTTTCCGTTACTTTAATGATTAGAAAGGCTGCTTTCAAATCATTTTAAAATGTTTCCATGCACGCAGTAATGTCACTGCAACATACTGTAGGACATTTAAGCAGCAAAACTAGAAACTGTAGTTATAAACTTGACAGGAAAGATGAAACTCTCCAAAGGAAACAGAACTAACAATAAATCCATTAAAAGCCAATTATTTCAGAAGCTGCAGCAGACACACAGGAACTAGAAAAGAGATCACATCTCTCCGTACAGCTACTCTGCATTGGCTCCCTGTAAAATGTAGAATAAATTAAATCCTCCCCTCACCTATACAGCTCTTCATGGTCAGGCCCCTTCATATCTTAAAGAGCTCATAGTACCCTATTACCCTCTAGAACACACGTTCTGAATGCTGGGCTACTTGGTTCCTATAGTCTCTAAAAGTAGAACAGGAGCCAGAGCCTTCAGTTACCAAGCTCCTCTCCTGTGGAACCAGCTTCCAGTTGTGGTTCTGGAGGCAGACACCTCTCCACATTCAAGAGTAGGCTTAAGACATTCCTCTGATAAAGCTTATAGTTAGGGCTGGATCAGGTGAGTCCGAACCATCCCTTAGTTATGCGCTATAGGCCTAGACTATCGGGGATTTCCCATGGTGCACTGAGCTCCTCTCTTCCTCTCTCTCTTTCTGCACTCATTCATGTCCCATTAATGCATGTTACTAACTTCACTTCTTCCCCGGAGTTCTTGTGCTTTCTGTCTGCAGGTTCTTGTCGATCCTGGTGGAGCCTCCTGCCATGGTGCTGCTGGATTGTCATTGCCAATACTGTTGTTGCTGTGCACCTGTCTGTCTGTCTGTCTGTCGCTCTCTCTCTCACCCCAACTGGTCGAGACAGACGACCACCCACCTAGAGCCGGAGGATCTGTCCTAGGTTTCTGCCTTTTAACAGGCAGTTTTTCCTTGCCCTTGTCTCCAAGTGCTTGCTCATGGTGGTACTGTTGGGTCTCTGTAATTAATGTTTTAAAGAGTTCGGTCTAGACCTGCTCTATTTGAAAAGTGTCCTGAGATAACTTCTGTTATGAATTGGCGCTTTACAAATAAAATTGAATTGAATTGACTGAATGAACTAGTGGGTGAGTTATTGTGTCCCTACCAATGTTGAGACCAAACCTAAACAGACGTCTCCAAAATCACTTAAACCTTTTATGTGGGGTGTTGGCTTTTGCTTGATATACATTTATTTTTAGTATGTGTTAAAAACCACTAACAACATAATCAGCATCAACATGTAATAGGACATAGGATAAAACATCAATGAGCTCAACATCTGACACAGACTAACCTGAGTCGGAGGGTTGCTCCTCTGTGGGTAAGAACCGGGCGTTGCCAGTGTAAGGCTGTGGTGCATCTTCCCCATTGTCCTCATACACATTAGACCACTTTATGGCCATGTCCATGCCCGGGGGAGGTCCCTTCTTCTTCTCTGGCTCTGAGGTGTAGCTATCAGGAGGGGGTACAGCGTTTGTCTTCCACGGCTTAAACTCTCTGGCAGGCTGCAAGTGAGTGGGAGAAACAAAAAGATGAGGACAACTGGCTCAGAGAAAGTGACAAAGGAGAGGTTTAGATGAGCTGTAACTCAGAGGAGTAAGATGTAGATCACAACACAGCCAGTCAATCGATTAGTCGATGGACATTAAAACCACAACAATTATGATAATTGACTGATTTCTCAAGTCACTTATCGCTCCAAAAAGCCAAACAGTCACCGGTTTTCGCTTCTTAAATATGTCAATTAGCTGCTTTTTAGTTTTATGTGATGGTAAATTGAATATCTTTGGGTTTAAGACAATACAAGACATATGAAGATGCCAACCACATCTTTTTGGGGGGACTGATCAATTAATGGCCAAATCAAAATACTACTACAACTACTACTACTACTAATAATAATAATAGTAATAGTAATAGTAATAATGATGAACAGATAAATGGACAATGAAAATATTAAATAACTGCAGCACTACTGACACAAATACGTTAGTAAGCAGAAATATAGTTTCCTGGAAATCTATTTGAACTGTTTGTCAAGTGGATAATCTCTATGTGTTTCCCTCATTATATAATTATTGACTGACTACATATCAGAAACTCTGTCCTATTTCCATTACGTGAACTGGGATAACGAGGGTTAATCGCCATTCAATCCCATCAACCCGACCTGCTACCCGCACCAATGACTCAAACCCGGAGGTTTTTCCTGTTATCCGTATATCTCTGTCTACCTGGGATGTTTACCTCTTCCGGAGCTTTGACCGTGAGGCTCTCCCAGTCTATCTCCTTATTCAGGGGATTGTAGAGGAAAGCCGGCTTGGACACGGAGCCGAACAGCTCGGCGGGTTTGGGTAAAGGAGCTCCACCGGCCGCTCGCTTGGTCCCGTGTTGGGAGGACTGAGCTCCGCCTGCCGGAGCGTCTGTCCCCGGTCTCTTCTTTCGACTTTCTCCCTCCTCGTCTGAGTCGCTGCTGTCGCTGCTGTCGCTCAAATCGTCGTAGCTCGAGAAGAAACCCAAGGAGCCTGTCTTCTTTTCCTCGGCCATTTTTTTTTTTTTTTGCAGGAGCTTCTTGTTTTTATTTGGAGTACCGACCTGTTAAAGGAATACACGACGGGAAAGATGAAGATAAAGCTGCGGGATCTGATTCAGTTTCTCTAAGCTCTACTCCATTTTGAATCAGCCTCCAAAGTGGTCGTAAAGCGGTTGGATGGTGTGGTAAAGACTGTCGCAATTTTTTTGGTGGATTGCAATCTCAATTTACAGGTGTTTACCGCCACCTACCGTCCCGGAGTATGTAGACCCAGCTCTGGTTAAATGTACATTTAGTCTATGAATAAAAATACATAAATAAATAGACATCCCTTCTAAATCCCCTCCTCGTCCAGCATCACTCACCCTTTGTTGTAGTTTTACTCTCTCTTATACAGCGCAGTAAACATTTTCACTTATATTGCAGTGCAGACATTCATGAATATATGTTAAATTAATGCTCTTTTCTTCTGATTTTATCTTTGCACATTGCAAATATCGTTATATGTCACACTGCTAACTTGCAGATTCTCCAGTCAATTTTCTTTTGCACATTTCTGTTTCTGTGTTTAATTGTTATGCACCAGCTTACGAAGGCAAATTCCTTTTATGTGAAAACCTTTATGGGCAATAAACCTGATTCTGATTCTATTATTACCTCTATTCCCCTTACCCAATAAAAATAATGTCTTATTTAAACCAATGTATGATCAAATCTTAGTCTAGATATTCCTTCTTTTAACACTATTTGCTTTAGCAGTATGTTCTACTCTTACTGTTTCCTTTTCTCCCCAAATTTTCAGATATTTTGTTTTTGAATAGTGCTTTTTCCAAAGTGAAATGTCCATTATATGCCTCATATTTAGTGCTCTTTTTGCCATCCTGTCTGCAAATTCACTACCCTTAATTCCCACATGTGCAGGTACCCAACAAAATCTAACATCTATCCCCAATCTCTGAATTCTATAGAAACATTTCTAACTTTAAATCTTCCCTAATTGACTTCACAGACTGCAAACTTAACAGAGCTGCTGCAGAGTCAATACACATTACTACCCTGTCTCGCTTCACTTCTTCCACCCACTGAAGACCAATAATTACAGCCATCTTCTCGGCTGTATAAACGGATCATTTATTCGATATTCTATTTCCTAAATATATTTGAATTTTTGTAATATAGACTCCTAGTCTATATTCTGCTTCAGTAAATATCTGTAGATAATTGTAAAAAATTATATCTTTGCACACTCTTTCACTTTGCATCCAATTTTTCTTTAACTCCATGATTTTAAGGTTTGCTTCAGGAAAAAGCCATGGGGTTGACATTGCTTCTTTGACTATGGGAGTTCGGCTTTACTTGTTATTTTCCAATCGAAACCATTTCCCTTGAATCAATTATGCTCCCAACAATAATTTAATACACTTTTGGTGAGGTTTTCATCTCCACATCCTCTCAGAAGAATCCAAAAAGCTAATACACTTTTGTCCCCTTCTAAACTCTTGTGGGATTTCTCCCGATTCTGCAAGTGCAGCATTTCTTAGAGTTGATCTCATTGCACCAAAGCAAACCAGTAAAAACAAAACAAGATAATTATACTGCTGGTACTGAGCTTCAAGTACTTTTTTAGGAGAACAAACTGTTTTAATATGAATAATAATAATATATTTGTCTGCAAACAGCTGCTTGGTCAGTGCTCATGATTTAAAGATATAGTCATTCAACAGTGCTTCCATAAAACTTGGCAGTGAGGCTTGCATGGCAGTCATGCTTCAGTTGCAGCCCAAATAGCCTCCAGATGTCACTGTTAAGCTATTCATTTTTTCAAGTTGTGCTGACATCAAAATGAAATGAAAATAAGTTTTCCTAAACAACTGAACAATTATTTTATTTATTCATAATTTATTTGTATAGTAAAGTATGTATCATAAACAAATGCCTCACACCACAGTATTTATAGCCTGAGCTAATTGATTTGAATACATTTCTGAGATTCAATTTCCGTTTTGTTTTTTCTTTTGTTATATAACTATTTATGCATTAATGTGACATCACTGCAGCAAACATATTCTGATAGCCCAGGTTATATAACTATGATTACACAAATATGTCTTAGACACTTAATACATGTTTTTATGGCCTGCAGAGGAGAGACTGCTGCATTGCCTGGTCTGAGCTGTGTTGTAGACTAACCTACTCACCTTTCTCACCCACCTGCCCTGTTTTACACCTGTTTTTATTCAAAACGCAATATATGTATATATGGAAATGAAAATAAAGATGAACATTTTGATGCAGTTTCCTCATTTAAAGTGCATGATTTTATATTATTTACATTTTTAAAGAAAATAGCCTATAATATATCAAATAAAATACATTTGTGATCAGGTATATTCAATGTGTTAGAGTTCATGGAGTTTTTAAAAGAAACCCAAGCCGGCAAAGTCGTTAACATGTTTGGACCACTAGAGTGCAGTATAGTCACACAAGTGAGACAATGAGCCATCCCAAAATAAAAAGTAGTGAGGAGCTGACAGGAACTGAACACAGAGAGTCTGTGGTCTGATTATTGTCTACTCTGGTTTAAACTTTATACAACATGCTTCATGTTTACGGAACCACTCAAAGATGTTCATCCAGTGAAGATCCTTTATTTTTTTCCCCCATTAAATTTACGAGAATCTCATGACATCATCAGAGTCTCAAACCAACACTTATACCACCCTCAAAACACCGAAGGGTTCAGACCATCACCTCTTCCCGGTCACATCACTTCAGCTAATGATTTAGTGCTGTTTGGAGAACCTAAATATTAAAAAGTCTGTCGTGGGTTTTCTTAAGTCTGCCAGACTTAGAGGGGCCACCATTTGCTCTCATGCACAGGTCAAATACAGACTAAAATGCACAGGGTAGACAAGCAAACATAAATCTACAAAATATACTGCCCACAATTTCTCTCGCCCTTCCTCCTTTTCTTCTTGTCCCTCCCTCCATGCACAGAAATAACAATACAGATGCTTCAAATGAGATGTTTTGCATTTTTAGGTGAGCTGGAGGTCAGATCTGTGCAGAGATTTACTGGAAGTCCAGTCCTAACAGATCCTGAAGGTAAAAGTTCATGTGCAGAAAAATATTTGCATTTCTTTCAGTATAGGCCCAAGAAATGTCTTCCCTGTTGTGATAAATCACTTAATTTATCTTAACCATGTCTTCTTTACTGTAGTAGCTGGAATATCATAATTAATTACCAGCAGTGGCAGTATTAGTAATAGCTCTAAAATGAGTTGTTGTTGAGTGATCTTTGTACTATGAACAGATACAGAATAACTAGCAAGGGTGGCAACTTAATTCTGACAAATGACTAACTAACACCTTGCTACCAACAGAGATGAAATATACTAGAATATAACCTGAATTAAACAATGTCTTTGATCATTTGTAAGGTCTAATATATAACCTGAATTAAACAATGTCTTTGATCATCTGTAAGGTCTAATATAAGCTGGCTGCAGCCTCAGAAATCCTCTTTTGTCCTTTTGAAAACATAAATGAGCCTAAAACAGGGATGGGTATGACTGTCAGGATATATTTCGTACGATTGCAACCCCTGTTTATTCCCTGTGGAGTTTTACACTGCTCATGTTTGTTGCCAGCTAATGACACAGTGTCATGTTGTAACTTCTGAGCAAGCCAAAGGCTGGCAGGTGATACACACTTTCTCCTCTTCTCTCCTCTCCAAAGTTAAATCTGTGTTATATTTTAAGCTATTTTAGCTCTGAGGTTGACTGATATTGACATTTCTCTTTCAGCCAGAGCTAATGACTAAAAGGAACCCTTCACTGTCTTCTTATGTAAGTCCTTTCTACAAATCCCTACCCTTTAAAATAAACCGGCTGCGGATGTGACTACAGATTCTTGGAACCAAGCTTCTAGAGGTTGTACCCTGTTTTCTTTTATTCCCACTGTCCAGTTTCACTGTAATTGAATAAATAAATAAAATCAATTTGTTCTCTGCTTCGGCATTCAGAATGTATGTGTTTTAAAACAATTGATGCGGTGAGATAATTCCACTTCTTCCCAGTCCCAGTCCCTGAATTGAAACAAGGCCAAATGTGCCAGATTGTTTCACTTACATCAAGAAAATTGATTCTAAATAATTTTCATAACAAGTAGTTATTTTTAACTCTTCTTACTGCAGTTCTCCTACAAGATAGCTAGTTTTCCTCTTACCAGTCCAACATACTACTAGGACAGCATTATACTCCAGCTCCTCTCATATGAACTGAAGTTTTATGATGAATGTGAGTTGTTTTTCTAATCATATTTTTGTCTTTTGACCAGCTTGGGGATGCAATCTGGGGAAAAAAGGGAGGATAGCAGGAGGGAGGATACTGTCCTGTATCCGGTACAAATGGCTCTTTCCTTTGGCTTAAATTTTTTCTTCAGTCTCTGCAGAGGCTGACCATGATGTGAGAAATTCCCCATGGAGGTGAAAGGCCACACCTCTCCACGTCTCTGTTTAATTTAGCCATTCATAATATCTTGAATGTCTTTATTTTATGCATTGGCTTAGCTCAGGTCAGGACACATCTGTGACAGCATATCAGTGGGTTAGTTTACTCAGTGTCAGCAAATACAGCAGTGGGCTGATGTTTTCTCTCCCTTTTTAACTTTTCTACAACTTCTAAGAGTGAGACTCTAATTCAAGCTAACTAGGACTTTCCCAACAAATTAACCCCTATTTGCTGAGAGAAGGCATAAAATCTCCTCATATGTTTTGTTGAAGGCACATTGGGTCATTCTGAGCATCTTTGGATCCTAATTGTTGAAGTCCTGTTTATGTTTTGGATAATTATACCCACAGTCCATCTTGAAGTTACCAAACAACACCTGGAGAATTAAAAAAAAAGTGGTTTGGTGATGTGCTTGTTAAACCCAGATGGAAGTTTTCACTCTTTTTTTTTAACCAACAGATAAACAATGCAGGCCAGATTTGTTCCTGAAATTGTGTTACAGACCCTTCTGGCACAATGAAGCTATTTAATCCAAGGTGCAATCCAGTCAGTCTTAGTCACTGATTTTCACTTAAATGTGCTCATATGAATGTAAACTATAAGAGTTTAAATTTAACAGAATACTGGAGTTGTTGAAACCTCTGGCTGATGCCACTGAT